CATCATCAGCATAACTTCTTCGAGGTAAAGATGAGAAAACACGCGATTCGTACGTGCGAACAACAAAGACAATGCCGCGTAAATCAAAATGTCGAGAAGGTTCGAACCTGACACATACCTCTTCCCCGACAAAACATCGCGAGGTGAAATGGAAACCCTAAAAGCTTGAAGCGGGTGGAAAATGGGAATGACGATTGGAAAACTCTCCGAAAGTTAATGCAAATCGGAGCGAACGATGTTCTGAAGAGAATATCCTTTTTTTTTATGTGTGATGATTTTAATGACTAAAAATTGTGCTGAATATATATATATACACACACATATTACATGGTAGACAACAAACTTGGGTGTCATAAAATTTTATGCTCCCCACGAGAGAATAACGTGGTCTCAGGTTTATTCTCGTAGCAATGTAATTTAATTTATTTATTTTTTTAGTAGCCAGCCACAGTTCCGAAGCTATGCCCCGACTAATCCGTTGGTCGACTCGGGTCGCACACCTGACAGTGGTGAGTAGGGCTACAAACGAGTCGAGCAGCTCGCGAGCCGCTCGCGAGCGCTCGAGTCAAAGCTCGACTCGAGCTCGAGTTTGACCGATTTCGAGTCGAGCTCGAGCGGCTCGAGCACGAACTCGAATCGAGCTCGAGCCCATATATTGCATTGTCGAGCGGCTCGCGAGCGGATCGAGATATGTGAAATTACTAAAGTACCCTTGTATATATATGTAATTAATGGTTATTTTACAAAATTTCTTGAAAAAATTCGAGCCGAACTCAAGCCGAGCTCGAGCATTATGAATTTGAGTCGAGCTCGAGTCGAGCTCGAGCTCTTGTATGTTTTGATCGAGTCGAGCTCGAGCACCAAAAATCGAGCTCGACGAGCTCGAGCACCTCAAAAAAAAAAATCAATCCGCTCGATAAGGCCAATGCTCGACTCGGCTCAGCTCGTTTGCAGCCCTAGTGGTGGGTGAGTCTCCCAACAAGAATTAACATAAATCTGACTTTTGACGTCAAATTTCCTCATTAATTTGGGAGGATGTAAGAATTTTAAATGATATTCTGATGACACTGTCCAAACAATTCGATCACACTCCCGAACGGGTTGTGTTGATCTGACGGTTAAAATTTTGTGCTTGTGTGTGATTGGATAGTTAAAATCTCACGTTGAGTGTGATCTGACAATTAAAATTTGTGTGATTGTGTGTGATTGGATGGTTAAAATCTCACGAGAATTGGGGTAAAATTTGCCTATTATCATGATCCATTAGCAAATGTTAGGCATTTATAGGTCCTTCCTCTTTAGAGGTTGTGTGGGAAGAATCAATGCTGCCCACATGGGCATTGCCCTCATGCCCATTGGGCCATTGATATGCGCGCACATACACACACCCACATAGGTGTTTGAGGTCAATGGTCAAAACATCCAAGGGGAGCGGTGTCCTTAGAGGTAGCATGGTCTTTTCCGGCCATGTGGTTGATATTTTTGACCTAAAAATATCGTTCGTGTGCGTGTATGACTGTAGAGAGAACCAAATATTTGGCCTATAATTAATATGTGTTGTGATCTTCTACAAACTTCTTTTTTCTAGTTTTTCTCTACTGGGTAAAGATTACTGCAGAAAACAATGATATAATGCAATTTATGTTCACAACTTACAAATGAATATGGGTAGGACCTTGATCTTGAGGTGCACAACCTGAATCAATGGAGTGATTGCCAAAACTTATCTACCATGAAGTGATCTTGTTACGGTACAAAACCTTTACAGAAGCATGTTTTTTGTGGTATATATTCAAGCCAACAATATTACAGCTCAAGACAAATTCAGTAGGAAAAAAAAAACCCTATAAATTTCAGCTGGAAGCAACAAAAAACACTGATATCAGCTTTCGTCAAACAACGAGAGCTAACCTACAGATCCTTCGAGCTTCAGGCTCATCAGCTGGTTGACCTCGGCACCAAACTCGTCCGGCAGCTCATTGAAAACATCCCTGCAAAAACCAGAGATCATAGCAGCCATGGCTTTCTCGTAGTCAATGCCTCTCTGTTGGAAGTAGAACAACTGATCCTCACCAATTTTCGATGTGGTGGCCTCGTGCTCAACGCGGGCCGTGGGGTTTCTCGTCTGTTTTGACAGTAGAAGAAAAGAAACTAGTCAACGGCTTGAACCTTTTCTGATACTTGTCAGTTAAGAGAAAGGAATCAAAAAATGTACAGAGGCTCAAAAACTTACGTTCTGTTTATTGCTAGCTTATTCTGTTATACAGTAATAACCTTTATTCTATCAGCTTCTATCAGCCTAACAGGTTAAGTGGTGGACAGTGCAAGAATGGTGGAAAAATATTTAGACCCCAACAAAGACCCAAATTCTATTTCCACTCTACACATAACTCAGCTAATTGAATTTCAGATCAGTTGCAGCTTTAGCTTATAAGTTGTCGCCAGGACTCTATCGTCACCCAAAGTCCTGACAACCGTGAATACTCCATACATATAAACTACAAAACCAATCGTCAACAAAAGAGTGTTGATGCAAAAACAGAGTAAAATACCACTTCATATAACCACAACAGCACAAAGCTATATAGTTTTATCAGTCAAGGGCAGGAATCACGCAAAGTTCCTTCACTCAGCCCATCTACAGAACTTACAAGCACGAAAGAAAGAATACAGGAAATCACAATTTGATCCACTCCCATTGGACAAGATATTACTTTCAACATCAGAGAAGGCATCAGCATAATCATAGATCATTCATAGAAAAACTCAACCATTGGAGCATAGAATATCATAACAGAAAAGCCAACCATTAACTCCACACACAATGTTTCGACAAAAATCCAGGTTAAAAACGGTTTAGAACAGAAAGCATCCCCAAGAAAAAAATAAAAAAGTAAATAAAACTATTAACCTGAATATAAGGATAAGTATTGGCTGCAGCTTTATCCCCAATCAGCATTGAATCGCACTGAGACGAGTTCTTCGCATTACCCGCACCCGACATCACCTGAACAAGGCCCCTGTAACAATTCCTCGAATTTCCAGCTGAGATCCCTTTGGAAATAATCCTGCTCCTCGTGTCCCTCCCCTTGTGTATCATCTTGGTGCCCGTATCAGCCTGCTGGTAGTTATTCGTGAGGGCAACAGAGTAAAACTCCCCAACCGACCCATCCCCTTCCAAGACAACACTCGGATACTTCCAAGTTATAGCCGAGCCCGTCTCCACTTGGGTCCAGGAGATCTTGGACCGAGCTCCAGCACAGAGGCCCCTCTTGGTCACAAAGTTGTAAATTCCACCCCTGCCATTCTCATCCCCTGCATACCAGTTCTGGACGGTCGAGTACTTAATCTCAGCACCCGCGTGGCAGTAAAGCTCGACTACAGCAGCATGAAGTTGATTCGTATCGTACGAAGGAGCCGTGCAGCCTTCCAAATACTCAACAAAACTTCCCTCCTCAGCCACAATGAGAGTCCTCTCGAATTGGCCAGTCTCCATGGCATTTATTCTGAAATACGTGGATATCTGCATCGGGCACTTGGTGTTCTTGGGTATATACACAAAAGAGCCGTCACTGAACACGGCCGAATTCAAGGCTGCATAAAAATTATCGTTTTCAGGAACCACTTTCCCCAGATATTGCCGGATTAAATCAGGATACTCTCTTATAGCCTCAGAAATTGAGCAAAAGATGACCCCGGCTTTCTCTAAGGTCTTTCTGTGGGTAGTGGCAATCGAGACACTATCGAGAACCGCATCAACTGCCACGTTGGCTAACCTGTTCCTCTCGTTCAGGGGCACGCCAAGCTTGTCGAAATACCGGATCAGCTCTGGGTCGGCCTCGTCGAGAGAGTTCAAAGTCGGCTTCTTTTTGGGCTCCGAGTAGTAGCAGATGTCCTGGAAATTGATTCTAGGGTACTGATTGTCGGACCATTGGGGCTCCCTCATAGTCATAAATTTCGAATAAGATTTTAATCTGAAATCCAGCATCCAATCGGGTTCGTCCTTCCTCGAGGAGATTAACCTGATAGTCTCCTCGGACAGACCCTTTGGAATGGTGAACGAGTCGATTTCCTGAGTGAAGCCCCATTTGTAGTCCCTCTTCAAGAATTTCTGGAGCGGGTCGTCGTCGTCGTTGGGTGATGAACTGGACGGTTTATTAACTGGAGATTCGACGGCGGTCTTTGAATCGTACCCGATGTCAGCCCTGATTTTGAGAGAGGTTCTTGAATTAGGGTTCCTGTAGAAGGGGGATTTGGGGGTGGGGTGGAATAATATAGAACCTTTCGAGTGCTCGGATATAGGTTGTGAGTAGAAAGGCGAGATGCCGTTGGTGATGAGAGAAGCCATACGACGGCGCTCGGCGGTGAGAAATTTGATACAGTTATGAAGATGGTGGAAGGACCCGTAGCTGTGGGCTGTAGAGTTTGCTTGTGGCACTTTTGTTTCTGTGGGAAGTTTTTTGGTAGCTTTAATGACAGTTTATTTAATATATTTTGGGACATTTGTTTAGATTTACGTGGCTGGAGATTGTTTGCCGTTATATAGTGACGCATGCGGACCACGTGCCCTGTAATAATTTTAGTAATAATAATAGTAAGCATAAATTTTCTCGAGTCAATGCTTGGGTCGAGTTCGAGGAGTTAGAGTCTTGGTCGAGCTTTGAGCATCATTTTAAGAGGCTCGTAAGCTCGTCTAGTCGTTCGACTTTTTATTTACTTAAATACTCTCTATATATTTAAGAAATAAAACCAAAATTGTCAATTTATTAGATTAAAAATAGTACTCTTATATTTAAAGTTCAGTTGTTAAGATCTCTAACTCGAATCATGTCAAGCATCGAGTCGAGCTCGAGCATTCTTATTATTTTTCACGAGTCAAGCCGAGCACCATTTTACATGGCTCGCCAAGCTCCAACTCTCGACTGGGGAAAAAAATTCAAGTTGTGCTCGATAAGGTCCTTGCACGACTCAACTCATTTGCAACCAGAGTCTAATTCTATCTTAGAATGAGTTGGGCAAATTGAATCTAATTGATCATTAATAAAAATATTTATTTTGCTGATTTATACATCTGCTGTTGCTATAAGGATATGATGGTTTTGGGTTTGAATTTTCCGCACAATACCTACTGTAGTTGTCATAACTTCTTAAAACCTTGCTTTGGATTAGCAGTATCGTTCTGCTTCATTTATTATAGGATTATCTAAATGAAATTCAAGCAGACAAAAACAATTGATATATCCAGTTTCAGTCACATTTGAATAAAAGTTGACACCATCCATTATTTCGCTATTTCCTTAACAAATTATAATTCAAGACACAACACTCTTTAGTCTTTACTTCAATAAAGAAAACACAATGCAACCAAGACGATCGCACGTACAGCCACCGATCCAAAATCAAGCTATTCCTACCAACTACTTGCTTATTTTTCTTTCTTTTCGAACGGTATAGAACAATCTAGCATGTCTTTCAACCTAAGGTCAACAGTGAATCAGGGATAATTCAATGAAATTGCACACGACATAAACGAAAAATAAACAGAATAACGTGATTCATGTTTCTGAACATAGTGTAAGCAAATAGATAAACAAGTAGATCGAGCAGAAGCAGGTTCATAGTTTCCTCTTCAGACAAGTCCCAAACAAAAGACCCAAATTCAATTCAACAATACGCCATTTAACAAATTTATAACACTATCTAGCAATAATTATTGCGTGCACAGCTCCTTTAGTAGATCAAATGCTGCTGTTGTCATAATCCCTTCACTCCACGTAGATCACTGCAAGGCACGTGATAAATAAGCTTCAAAGTAAAAAGCAAAACCCTAAGTATATTGTCAATGCATCCTTATATATAACTCATGATAAGTGAAAATAATATAATAGTTGTTACCCCCAATCTTTTTTTTTTTTTTAAATTCTTATTTCACTCAACTTGAAACACTTTCAATGCAACTTAAATGAAAATATCAAAGTTTGCATTGGCAACAGCCCATACCAAGTGTGTTATGCTAAAAGAACTGGGTACCAACTATAAATACAAGGACCAATGGCGAAAAACAAGGGTCTTACTATTGAAAGGTTAATGCAAAATTGTGAAGGCCGTCAATAATTACAAGAAAACTATGACTATGAAGTGAGGTTGTGTCAGAAAGGGAGGCAAGTAAAAAACATATTCACCTGTATAAAAATAGATTCGTTTGTCATTAAAAAAGAAATAAAATCACCGCCATGTACATTCACCTGAGGTTGTTGCATTGGCTGCTGCTGTTGTGGTGGTTGTGGGTAGCTTCCATATCCAGTATAGCCTCCATAGTACATATTTGGATCCTGTGCTGCCGGAGCATATCCATAGGTATCATAACCGGGGGTATAACCATAATATCCACTACTCCACTGGTTAGGGTCAACCTGAGGTAGGAAAAGTTAATATATATGGGTTGTGCACAACTGTTGGCCTAAAGAAGGTAGAGCCCGAAAATAAAACCTAACAAAAAGAGGAAACACAAACCTGTTTGTTTGAAGGGCTACGGCCCCACGAGAGTCGAATGCTCTGACCTCCCAATTGGGTTCCATTTAACACCCGTAGAGCTTCCTCAGCACAGCTTCTGTTATAATATGGAGAATATATAATACTTTATACTTGTTGAAAATCTTAAACATGGACAACTGGTTGGATTCTTGTTTTACCTGTCAGCAAATTGAACAAAACCACATCGTTTGCCCATAGGTATCTTCACATGGAGTAACTGTCCATGTTGGCCAAACACCTGTCTCAGATGATCATCTGTGATATTGGGGTCCAAATTCCCAACAAAGATCTGCGGCAGAAAAACTCATAACAGTGAGAAAATTTGGTTTTTTTCTGTGAAAATGAAGAATAAAAGTAGAAAATGTACTACGAATTTACTAACAGTTGTGTTAGATGGATCATCCTCACTTGGAGTTCCCTGTGAAGTTTGGTATGAGGCTGCAATTTTAACAGATAATTTAAGGGAAGATATGGTGCAAAAGTAATGTATCACTACAACAAATTTATGAAAAGCAAATGAAGCCTACAGCCGTGTCCAAAAGCTATCTTTGCAGCAAACTCATATAACTACACAGAATCTCCAAATCATATTGTAGGCAGAAACAAACAAAAAATATACGATTCTTACCATTCCCTTAACGGAGCAAATAAGAGAAAAGTAAGCATAGGCAAAAAGTACAGGAGATACAGAAATAGATCAATGCAGAGCCCCATATATAATGAGAAAAGTAACAAATAAACACTGATTATGTAGTTGTTTCAATGCATAATCGGTGGTGTAATATCTGGAACCTTGAAAGGTAATGCAATCTTTAGCCAAAATAGTTTCCGGTGGTTAATCATCAAACCCAAGAAAAAAAAGCTTACTGTGTTGAGTCAAGCAGTGCACTACAGCGAACACTAATGAGTAATAAACCATACAGAATAAGGTTCACTCTGTCGCCAGCCACCATTTGCAAAAGCAACAAAGAAACTCAAAACACTGACTAAAGAAGCTGATAAGAGATTAAGTTTACAAATGTTTCCCTCTTATAATGGGTAGAAGCTTGGAAATGAAAACGCCAACTAGAAAGAAGAATCAAAGTAACCCAAAGAAGTATGATGCACTCATTACCACTTTGTCCTCTTAATAATAATGGATAAAGACTTTGAAACTAAGCCAATAGCTAGAACGTCAGAAAAGGAAATAAAGCAACTCAAAAACAGATTCCAAGTTAAACAATGGCATAAAACAAAGGCCACCGCACAAACCACTGAACCCTGCGCTGTGTAAGCAGTTTCCTTGACCTTAGACCATTGCCCACTCACCACAGTGAGCCTTTTCTAACATGAATAGATCCAATGTTAAGTGATTGGAAAATTATTGGCTGGGGAAGAAACAATTATTTATTTAAAGGCACAAAGGAAAGCGGTCCATGGAGATACAATGTATTTACTGTGGCTAAATTAAAACTGAGTATTTAAAAAAATAGAAGGGTTGGAATAAAAAGGTAAATAACTTGACTGAGAGCTTAGAAAGTAAAAGGACTGGTGGAAGAAAGAAACTGAAATTCGTAGTAGTGAAAGAAAAAACCAAAAAGTAAGAGACATTAAATTTAAAACTGACCTACACAAGACCAGGCACTAAAAGGGTTATCATTTCAGCTGAATTTTAGCTCCAGGCCCATATATGATAGAGCCTCCTGACACCCTGCTTTGAGACAACCGGAGTTTTTTATGAGATTATGCATGTTTTAATACTTCTGAGCCTAAAACTTTTAAAATACTGGAAGGTAAAGGACGTAGTAAGTCTTGCTTATCTTCAAAAAACGAAAGAAAGCAACTTAAAACATTGCTTAATCTATACTCCAACTATTCCAAAAAGAAAAGCCACCAAAGCAATGGAACTGCCAAATTAAAATCAGAGCACCATAACACATGAGTTTGACATGTTAAAACCAAGCAACCAAAATTGCTGCTTCAAAATCCACCTAAAAAGCTCAAAGCACTAAGGATACCTTTGGTCTGAGTCTGACCACCCACTTTTTGTTTGTTTGCAGCTGGACCAATTCGCATAGGCCTAGTGGAGCACAACCTACCATTCATCTCTGTCATGGCACGCAATTGTTCACTTTCATCACCAAACCTAACAAACCCATAGCCCTTTGTACGTCCTGTTATTCTATCTGTGACAACTTTTGCACCCTTCACTGAAGGATAATTGGCTCTGAAAGTTTCCTGAAGCATGTAATCAGTAACATCAGCTGCCAGGTCTCCAACAAATATGGTGTAGTCAGAAGCATCATCACGCTTTTCCCCAGCTCCCATGGATGCCCAGTTCAATCTGAAAGTCTGTTCGACATTTGGCATTAAGCTGCCATTGTATGTTTGCAGGTTCCTCTCCGCAGCAGCATGGCTAGCAAACTCAATGAATCCATAACCTTCTGACTGGCCAGTTTGCTTGTTGCGGATAACTTTAGCTGCCACCACCTACAGAAATAAACAAGTAAAATGATATCTACTTATAAGTAAACCAAAAATCTAACAACCAATTCCGTATGACAGAGCAGAACTATTATATGTCCTAAAAACATGTTGGATAGCATTCATCCCTAAAATATAATGCAATAACAAAACTAAACTTGCAAAGCCAAACCCAAAGTAACTACACTGTTAAACAATATCCAAGAAGGAAAAAATAAAACATAATGAGAAATGCCTTGAAATCAAAATCGCAAAATAGAAACAAATTGCTTTATAAGACGAAGATAATAAGCAGATATGGCAATCGGAATAACACCAAAACAGGAGAGGTAACAAGAGAGGGGGCGAGGGAAAAATTAAGCTCAATCGAACAATCAAAATTCACCAATACATCAACTATATTGCATTAAGAACGCGACCATGAAAATTTACCTCCCCGGTGGTTGCAAAGCAGCCGTATAAATACTGCTCATCCATCCAGTACTGCAGATCTCCAATCCACAGGCTCCGGATCCCATCATCCGCTATCGGCTGAGCCGGAGCCGCTGGCACAGCAGCGTACTGCTGCTGCGTGACGGCGCCTGCCGGAGCCTGCGGCTGCTGGTAGTAATAACCCGCTGCGGGCGGCGGTTGATGAGGATGGACCTGGTATGGGGGTTGCTGAGGCTGCTGCGCCATCCATGGTTGAGATGGCTGCTGCGGTGGCTGTTGCTGGTACTGATGTGGGAGCATTGGAGGGGGGACCATGGTGGTTGCCGGCTGCATCATCGTAGGAACCCTAGATTTGTTTGCGAGGATTGATAGGATGGGGGCGTATATAAGCGGTGCCCTAATTAGGGTTGACAGGACCTGAGGGCTGAGAGGAAGAGACAGAAATGAGAGATAAGAATAAATTGTTACTACCTCTTATTCTTTTTAAATGTCATTTTGACATTATCAATTATTAGCAAAATAAATGTCGTTTTGAATATTTTGTACTACCTCCTTTTTTAAATAAATGTGACTTTTTTTATTCATTCATTTTGCTATGTATCTAGACATTAATATGTCTAGATACATAGCAAAATGAATGAATCAAAAAAGTCAAATCGACATTTATTTAAAAAAGGAGGGAGTACATATTTTTTCATTATTACCTTCATCTAGCTAATAAATACACTACGTCTTTTCATATTCACTTTTCATTTTTTTCTCAAAACATTCATCTATATCTTCATTAATGAGGGTTATTATTGGTAAAAAAAATATTCTTAATAAGTGTGCAACTTCTCAAAACGACATTTATTATGAATAGGAGGGAGTACAATTTATTATTTTGACGTGGATCAATCGAGTTGGGAATACCGATAATTAGAGGTGCACAAAATTCGGTTAACTGATCGAAATCGACTGAAACTGAAATTTCGGTTTGAACCGAACTCGAAACCGAATTTTTGGTTCGATTTTCGGTTTGTCTTTTTTAAAATTTCAGTTTTCGGTTCTGTTTAGATATAAATGTTCGGTTAACCGAACCGAACCGAAAACCGATACTATATAATATTAATTACAAAAGCCATATATTATCTAAGTCCATGTTTTTAATTTTTAAGCCATTATATTAAAAAGTGTTGAAGCTCAACCCAACAAAAAAGAGGCAAGTATTGAAATAAGGCAGGGTCAACCAATACATTACCAATTATTAGTAGTCATTCTTAGTTTTCTCCTCATCAGCCATGATTCATCATCTTCATCCTTCAGACATTCTAAGCCACAGACAAAGTCTAAACCACCGATCCTAAGTCCTAAACAAAAAATCATAAACTAGTGATCCCTAACATCAACTCCGCCTCACGCAATTTTGCATTCGAAATCTTCAATCGCCACTCTCGGTAATCCGAAGCCCCCGCGCCCACTCTCGCTCACACTCTACTCCACACTCGACAAAGCTCGTCTTCTCAAATAAGTTTGTCAGCTAAATTCCCTCCTACGACTTGTACTCAATTGAATCAATTCATTGAATCAATTCATTCTCTCAAGGCTGAAATCGTTTTCTCTCTTTCGTCTTTATCTCTTGAATTTTTTTATTTTTTTCTGTTAATTAGGGCTGCGGATTGTTGAAATTAGAGTTGCAATTAGCTAAAATTTTGTTGAAATTGTCACTAATGATTTTTTTTTTTCCTTTTTTCAGATAACCGATAATCAAACCGATCCAACCGATAAATTTTCGGTTAAAAACCGAACCGGACCATAAATTTCGGTCCGGTTTTCGGTTTGAAGGTTGGGTAAACCGAAATTTCGGTCAGTTCGGTTCGGTTTTGACCGATTGAATACCGATAGGCGATAATGGCCCCTTTTACCGGACAATATTGTTGTGGACAAATCTCGGTCTTTCCATTAGAATTGTTCTACATAGTAACTTTACTTGCAAAAAAATGTTTTTTTTTTTAACGATAGCAAAACTCATAACAGAAAATAAGTACAGAGTTCGGAGAGCAAACTATCTCTTACAATACACAACGAACAAACACAACAAAGAGTGCCACTCCAAATGTGGCCTAGCAACACAACTACAATCGCAACTAAAGGCAAATATTGAGATTTGGGACCTGTAGCGCACACCGAAACCAACAAACACAACCAAACTAGAAAACTCAAACACATAAACACAACCAAGGGACCACTGAACCAAAGAACCTATTACCCTAACCAAACATCAACAAAACAAATAAAACCAAAGAAGAAAAAACAAACTAAAAAGAGCAAACATGCTGAAATTCAGACCACTCTCTCAAAGCCGAGGAGACAACTACCTTCTCCGGCATCTAAATCTTTTGAAAGACCCAAAGATTTCGTGACTTCCAAAGCTACCAGAGGATATACGTTGAAAGTTAGATTCGCGCTTCGGAAGTCAGAGATTTCTTCATGTCAGCAATCCACCACCACCAGCTTGGAAAATCTGTAATAAGATGACCAGGTGTGTCCCATGAAACAGGGGCAAGCTTCCAGACCCTGCAAGCTCGAGAACAATCAAAGAAAATATGGCTCACAGTTTCTCTCTTCTCCCCGCAGCAAGAGCACAACATATCTATCTCCATACCTCTTCTGGCAACATTAGTATTCACTGGCAAACTATCAGAAAAGCACTTCCATACAAAATGCTTTAGCTTATTCTTCACTTTTAAATCCCAGCATCTCATCCTTGCCTTCTTATCAGTTTGACATGAGGTGATGCATCCAGGATTGTCTAAGCTTAACAGTTTTTTCAGCATTGCAGTTGAGTAGGCAGAAGCCACAGAAAATGTACCTTTATAATCCTCCTTCCATATCCATCTGTCTCTGCCTGCAGGATCCGGCCCTTTAATGTTCAGAATAGCTGCACTGGATTCTGGAGTGAAGATGCTGTGAATTAATTCTCTGTTCCAGCTCCTACCATTATCCATAATGAGTTCTTACACCCATGTCACATGTACATTCAAATCATTAAGCAAGAGAGCAAGAACACCAGAACTAAGCCCAGGCACCCAAGGCTCACTGCAGATTTTAGTATTCAGACCATCCTTGACTTCCTTCATAAATCACTGTTTGTATATAGATAGGACCTTAGCCCATGAGTTCCAAAGCCAAGATGCAGAGCTAGATTTCTTTGCCTCCAGCACACATGTAGAAGGAAAATATTTTTCCTTAAGCACTCTGGTCATAAGAGAGTTAGGCTTCACCAGGAGTCTCTATATCTGTTTCAGAATCAGGGCATCATTGAATACTCTAACATCTTTGAAGCCTAAGCCACCATCTTCTTTGGGCACAGTGACTTTATTCCAGGCCACCCAATAGACCCCTTAGACCACCAAAACCTAGCACTGAGTTAGGAGATCTACTTACAAATACCAAATGGCAAACAAAATCAATACATCACAAAGATTGGTAAGACATTAATAACAGTTTTGAGGAGCACCTCCTTGCCAGCAAATGACAAAAATGAGTTCTTCCAGCTAATAAGTTTATTCTTCACAACAGACAGCACAAACTCAAATACTTCCCTCTTTGATCTGTCAATCCCCATTGGTAGACTCAAGTATCTAGAGGAACTACAAACAGAAATTCCTCTAAGTCTATTATAAATATCAAGTTGTAACCCATTAGAAGAGTTCTTACTAAAAAAACACAGATGATTTGTAGAGATTCACACATTGACATGTAAAAAACTGATAAGTGTAGAGAATCCTCATCAAAGAATTGGCATTAGCATAATCAGCAGCACAAAAGATGAGGGAATCATCTGCAAAAAGCAGATGAGATAGCACAGTCCCCCCTCTAGTCAATCTTATACCCTGTATCTGGCCCTCATTGATAGCATGAAGAATTAATCAAGAGAAAACCTCAGAGACCAGCAGAAATAAGTAGGGAGATATAGGATCCACTTGGCGAATGCCCCTTGAAGGAGTGACATGACCAGATACTCTATCATTGACATTGAAAGAAAACGCTGCAGATGACATACAGATAAACACCCGTTGGGCAAAAGAGGGGTGAAAACCCATTTTCATCACTACTTTAACAACACAATTCCACTCAACACGGTCATATGCTTTCATCATGTCCAGCTTAACTGCTATAAAGAATTTATTACCTGACTTGTGCCTATTCAAGTAATGAATGATCTCATGTGCAATCACCACGTTATCTGTCAACATTCTACCCGGAATAAAGGCAGACTGAGTTTCATGAATACATAATTTCAAGCAATCCTTCAGTCTGGCAACTAGAATCTTGGCAATAATCTATAGGATACACAACATAAATTGATGGGTCTGAAATGGCTAACATTTGAAGGGTTATCAAACTTTGGAATTAAAGTTATAATGGTGTGATTCCACCCTTTAAGAATTGATGGGTCTGAAATGCTGGACATACATGGCCCCTTTCTTTATATATGGGTGTTATCTTCTTTCCCAAGACTAGCCGGATGGACTGCCCGAGTATATGATCATATTGCTTGAGTGCCCAATCAGGCCATTTCAGTTAGGCCATATGGAAAAACTACCAAAAGATCAATAGATTAGAAAAACAACTCTTAGCATGATCACATAATTCTTGTATTATAAAAAGTCCATGCATAAATAAAATAAATGTGTGTGTGTGTATACTTAACAGATAATATATAATTCGTACCCACGTTGAGTTCCACTACACCACTCATATACCTTACGAGTATGATCACAGAATTCTCCAGCATTTTATACTACGTAAAACCTTTACCTCTTTACCTAAAGGCTTTGCCTGGACATTCCGACTATTTTGTCACTCATCAACTTGTTGGGGATGCCACTTTGCCATATCGTTCATGAATATCACTAGCTAAACAATTAACAAATATCAAAGACCATCAAAACGTAAAATACAAAAAAAAAAAGAACATGTACACAGACATGAGTAGGCATCACTTAGACACAAAGAAACAACATTCATTCATGTTTATTAAGAACTGACCCACAGAAGGACATACGACAATTAGATTTTAAACCTGATGGAGTGAGCAAACCCATCAACATCAAAGGGAAAAATGAAGGGTGGGTCAATTGCCATAGTATTGACAATAAAAAGCAAGATAATGCTTATTTCTTTGTTTAGGACCACCTGTCCACCTTTGATTCAGAGGATGAAAAGGAAAAAGAAGTACAAAAAAGAAAAAGAGGAATAAACCTGGCCTAAAATTGTTGTTGACGATCAACTGCGCACAATCAAATACTTTCTAGATACACATGGTCTCTGTTTTCACCTAATGCTCATCT